ATAAGCAACAAGAGTTTTGTTACATGAATTTTCAAGAATATAGACAAATCAAACAAAATGTTCACAGCCTCAAAAAAAAAAAAAACAGTCTAAAAACCTGATGTATCATCATAGTTAACACTTACGTGCCAGGCCCTGTCCTAAATGTTTTATATTTATGTAATTCATTTAATAGTCACAACTCTATCAAGTAGGTACTCTTATTACATTCCATTTTATCGATAGGAAACTAGCACAGATGTTTCCCAAAGTGACAGAATCATTAGCTGAGTCAGCATTTGAATTCAGGCAGTTAAGTTCTTAATGACTGTTACACTGCAGAAAAATAAAGTCCTCTTCAAATCTAAATTCAGGTCACGCATGGTAAGTCTCACCTATTCCTGCACATTACAGTGGTCCTGTTTAAAAAAAAAAAAAGAAAGAAAGAAAGAAAAATAAAATGCAAGATGCTACATAAGTAAATATAAAGAGCTATTACCACAAAACCTAATAGCTATTATGAATTTTTTCATGTTATACTAACATTTTCAGGAAGTATAATTTGAACATAACCACTCTTGCTACTTTTACAGCTTTATCTAAAACACTGAAAAGCTATTATAAAACCCAAACAACAGGTTTAGAATAATTTCTAAAAATGAGAGCCCAGTTTTAGTTGAATGTTTCCACAGAGATTAAGTAGAATGACTTTCAAATGACCAGGATCTTGCACTAAAACCTAGATAATCAAGAAATGAACTCAATCACCATACAACAGATTCCCCATTTGTTTTACACAAAAACACCCTTCACTAGGAACAGCTGTGATACTTATGAGAGAAAAAAATAGAAAACATTTAAACCTTTAACACCAAGAAAAAAATGACTGAAAAATCAACTTAGATATAATTCTCAATATCTCTGCCCCAAAGGTTACTTCCTACAGCAATAAATTTATGTATATTTTAAATCATTATATTACCTAACCAAAATTATCCTGTCTTTAATTACACTGTCTTGTTAGTAGGAAAAAAGGATTACTTCAAGCAAGTTACCAATCATTCTTTAATTTGCATAGCAGTTACACTTGTGTTATCTCAGTGTTGCCCATACTCATCACTAACTCTGAGACTTTAAAACAAAAAAACCTGCAGACTATTCCCGGAAATCTTGTTCCTGGGACTGAAAATTACTGAAGATTCTCATCCTGAAAAACAAGGAATTTGGCACAAATGTAAAAAATAAAGGCAAAAAAAGCTATCAATATTCAAATGGAAGATTCAATTCAAGGAGTTATTTTAAGAACTAAAGCAAAGAAATAAGTTACAGTCTCTTAATCACAGAACCACATCACATTCCTGCAGCACGGCTAAACCTTTTATGAAAACATTAATTTAAACCTGTGCACCTGAAACTAATGTAACATTGTGCATCAACTATACTTCAACTTAAAAAAAAAAAAAAAAAGGAAATTAAGTCCCAAAAATATATCCTATGCTCTTGATGAGATATGACCCTTAATTTACTTAGGGGGTGGGGGAGAAAGCCAGAGCCAAGCACTAGGAATATTGCAGGTTAAACAAAATTTGACTTTCCCTTCCAAACTGGAAACAATCTTATCAATGTACAAAGCGAATATATCAAGTTGCCATGTGAACTTTATTTAGAAGCAATTTGGGAGAAAAGTACTAAAGAAAGTAAAATCATTTACAAATCTCAGTATAAATACATTTTCTTAAGAAAATTATGCTACATTTCTTAAATCCTTCCACAGAAAAGCAATATAAATTCTGCAAAATCCAGCACTAACATTTTCTGACCAAAGAAACTGAGTATTAAAATTAAGGCATGTCATTTGCCTAACAAAATCAAGCAAAGAAATCTGTATCTTAAAGGATTAAAGTTAGTACTTAAGATCCTTGGTATCTTAAGTATTAAGTATTACTTAATATTATTTATTAGGAATTAATACTTACTTTAATAGTTATGCATATTGTGACTCTAAAAATTAGCTTGATGGAAACAAGTTTGATTTGTATACCACATTCACTCATTCTCCGTCCCAAAAAGCTATTTATATACTTGAATTGATAAAATTAATATCTAAACCAAAGAATAGAATTTGCTATGGTTACAGAATTCTAAAGAAATCTGACAGTGACTTTCACACCAAAATACAATAGCCTCATTTGAGATGCACTAATTAGCCATGTACGAGACTAACAAATGCTTTAACATTTCCCAAATCATCAGATCCTAACCAGTTTAAAATTTGTTCTTTACGATTCTAAGCAAGTCATTTACCTGCTCTGTAATTTCAAGTTCTTTATCAAGTAGTCAGGCAGAATAATTTCTTCCAATTTTAATACACTAAGATTTTTTACTTAATAACTGAATTATTTCTTTCTTCCTATAGAAAAACATGTATATTAGATGTATACTTTTAGTGAAAAAGCTTTCCTTTCTTTTCAATGTTTCAGTAATCCCTTGACTAGTCCTTTAATTTGTATCCAAAAACTCAGTCATCTAATGAATAGGTTATTAGGCAAATATCCTGGTCAAGAAACCAAAAATACTACCCGACATACTGCTATAAAGGCTAGGAAAATCATATTTCAAAAAACAAAATGAAAAATTGTACAAACAGGGTCAAATGACATATGGAAGTTCCTAAACTAGGGTACCATTCAATGAGCTAGGATGTATTTGGTTCTGCTGTCAAATCCTGAACTGCTTTAAAAATAATATGGTGATATGATAAGGTATCAGATACTCTTTAATTTGACCATGCCATGCCTAGACAGAGAAAAGCCATGAGTTCAAAGAAAAACTGAGAAGCTTAGACAAAATTATTATGACATCAGACAAACCGATTTCTTCCACTGTATCATTAATTTCAAGATAAATAAACTATCAAAAAATTCCAGATGAGGGGTGCCTGGGTGGCTCAGTTGGTTAAGTGCCTGCCTTTGGCTCAAGTCTTGATCTCAGGATCCTGGGATGGAGCCCCAAGACTAGTTCCCTCCTGGGGGAGCAGGGTAGTCTGCTTGTCTTCCTCTCTCTGCCCCTCCCCCACACCTTGTGTCCTGGCACACTCTCTCTCAAATAAATCAATAAAATCATTAAAAAAAAAATCCAGGTGATTAAGGAAAACACACATTATATTCTGTAAGTCTTCAAAGTTAAATAATTGAAACTAACACAATCCATAAAGTGCTCAACATTTACTTGGGTCCAGTAAAAAGAAAGTAAGGTAACCAAATAAAATTTATCTGAAAAGCACCTATTCAAATAACACCTTAACAGAAGAATAAAATCCAAGATCAGCAGCAATATGCACCCCTGTACCAAAAAAAAAAAAAAAAGTGTATAAATGGAATTTTTGCCTGTAAACCAAAAGGAATCAGTTTTTGAGGACTGTCCAATAAGAATAAGGCTATGGCTTGACAAAACTTTTTAAAAAAACGTCTGCACCCAATGTAAACTGCCATAAAATAGTTTTTATTTCACAATGCCTTAGTAGTTCTACATCATTTGCTGTAAAACTTAAGAAATTATTATGTTCCTAAAGAACTTGTCAGTCTTTAAGTTCACTTCCTTCCACATGCTAACTTCCCTTCACATTTGATATGGCCTTGGTCATTTGCAGGGTGACAAAGTACTGACATATTAGTTTATGGATAAAATAAACTAGAATATTCAGTAACGTTCATATCCTATTTTAGTCCATTCAGGTCCATTTTCTTGACAAGAATAAGGATATCAGCATTTTTCGTCTATAATGTAACTGACTTTTTCAGTGGAACTCTGCTTCTTCCAATAATCTCCGTTCACTTCTGGATGAGGACAACATTCAATCAAGCTGCTATAGGTCAAGCAACAAGTTACCCAAACCTAGCTATTTAAACGTAGAATATACTTGTCAACCAGAATGGCACACCATTATTTACACCATGAAAACCTCCCCGAGACGTTAAAAAAGCAAAGCATTTGAGTCCTTTGGACTCCTGGAAAAAGTCTGGCTTAAAAACCTTTCATAACAATAACCGTAGTGACGTTACAACTCTCAAACCACTTACAGAACTTTACATGGGCTCGTGTACTATTCAGGGGGATAGTGAATGGGCTGAAGACATACTAGTTTTTTGTTTTTTTGTTTTAAGATTTTATTTATTTAGTCACAAGAGACACAGCGAGAGAAAGAGAGAGAGGCAGAGACACAGGCAGAGGGAGAAGCAGGCCCCATGCAGGGAGCCCGATGTGGGACTCGATCCCAAGTCTCCAGAATCAGGCCCTGGGCCGAAGGCAGGCTCTAAACCGCTGAGCCACCCAGGGATCCCCAAGACATACTAGTTTTAATTAACGCTGTCCGAAAACTACCAGCTACCAACAGGCTTAATTAAGCATCATTAGGTAGAACAATATCAAACACTTATTGTACCTTTCTAGTCCCAAAGCATTTACCGAGAGAAGAAAGTCTTTTCTATGGTTTATGTTAAATGCCTGTGCAATCACCAACTAAGATATATCCCAAGTAAGGTCACTGAGGAACGAAGTCGTTCCTATTTGAAAAGTACAGCCTGATCTCCGGGATGGAAACTCGCATGTAACACACCAGCAGCTCAAAAGTGCAGAGCCTCTGCTAAGACTGAAACGCACGGGGCAAGAAGACTGTACTTTCCTAACTCAGAAACTTTCCCACTAATTCCGGGTTTCCTGCCAGACACTAAAACAATAACAAGTAGGTAATGCGTTTGTACTAAGATGATTTTCACCACTCCTTCCCTAAGTGGCAAGCCTCTTTGGTTACCAGTAACTCTTATCCTACGTAGGTACATGCCCCAAATTCTAGTTTCAATCTCTTTTCAAAGTTGGCCTCCCACCCCCCTCACTCCCCTCCACCCCCGCCCGCCGCGGGAGCGAATGGTTAAAAGAACGACTTTAAAGGAGGAATTGGAGTAACTGGCTTAGTCGAGCCAAACGTAGCTCCAAACCACCGTAAGCGATGGGGCCATCCATACCTGCAGTTCACACCAGGCGACCTCCACCGTGGTTTCAGTGTCCAGACCTTTGTAGACGGTCTTAAAGGAGCCTCTGCCAATTTCGATGTCGAACTTGAGAAAGCGGCCATCGTTGGACATTCCCACGGCCTTGGTCTCCAGCTCTTCGATATCATCCTGCTGCTGCTGGCTGCGTTCCTCCTGTGGTTCCTTGGCGCTGCCGCCGCCGCTGCCGCTCCTGGCCGCCGAAGGCTCCTCTTTGCTCCCCACATGGTTGGGCTGGGACGCCTGCCGATCTCTGCCGGCACTGCTGGGGGCGGCGGCGGCAGCGGCAGGGCCTGAGCTGACTGGCTCCCCGGGGCCGGCAGCGGCGGGGGGCGGCTGGGCTACTTGCACGGCGGCGGCGGCCGTCAAGGTCTCCTCACGGGGCGGCTCCGGCGGGGCGCTCTGCGGCGCAGCCACCGACACCGCGGGCTGGGGCAGAGGCAGAGGGAGGCCGGGCAGCTCCAGCGCCGTGGCGTTGGAGTCGCAGATGACGCTGCGGCGGAAGAAGCGGTGCTCGGTGGTGGTGGTGGTCGCCGCCGCGCCACGGCTGTCCTTGTCCATGGTGTGGCGGCGACGCCGGTACTCCTCCGTGCGGCCGGCCCCAGCTTCGGGCGCCGCGCCGCCCAGTTTCTCCCCCACCGAGGAGTCGGAGCTGGAGCCATTCTTGGGGGACGGCGCCGGTGGCGAGAGGAACAGGGAGCTCGGAGTGCTGCTCTGCTTCTCTGCGGCGCCACCAGACATGGTCGGTCCGCAGGAGCGAGGCGAGCGGGCTCGAACTTGTGAACGAAGCCTCCCTTCGGGAGGGCGAGGGGCCGCGCCCGACGGACGGCGAGGCGTGCGGGTCCCGCTGCGGGGCTCCCGGCGGGCTCCGGTGCACCCGGACGGCTCCTCACTCAGCACTGACGAGCCGACCCGACGGAGACGCGGGCCCCGGGACCCAGTTGCGGCGGCTGCTGCGGCTCACGAGGCGGGCTCGTCGGCGGGCGGGCGGGGGTTAGCGCCTCACGGTCCGCATCCATCCTGCGGCGAGCGGCGGCCCGGAAGGCGGGAGCGGCAGGGGCGCCGCAGTCATGAGGGGCAGGGCGGGCAGCCGGCACTGGGACGAGGCGGATGCGGCGGCGGCTCCAGGTCCCCGCCGCCGCCGCTTCCCAAGCCGGGCGGGTTAGGCCCCGGGGCGGCGGCGACGCCAAGAACGGACGAGCACCGACTGCCGGGCGGCGGCGGCCCGGGAGCCGAGCAGAGTGGGAGGGGCCGAGAGAGGCGAGGAGGGCCGGCCGGGGATCCGGTCAGTCAGTCGGTCGGTCGCTTCCTCCCACACGCGCCCCCAGCTCGGGGGACAGTCTCACAGGGCGCCCATCGCCCGGACGGAAAGAGCCGAAGCGACGAAGCCTCGGTGCCTGAGGAGCGGGCCCCCCCTTCCCCGAGGCCTCCCCGCCCGCCCCGGGCCTGGCAAACCCCCGTCTCCTCCCGGGCCGGTGCCGGGGGCTGACTGAGGGAGGGAACGGTGGGGAGGGGAGGGCCGCTCACCGCGGGGCCCGAGCTCCGCTGCTTCTCTGGGCCGAGAGTCGGGGAGACCGAGAGGACTGGGTGAAGGGAGTCAGGGAGTGGAAAGAGTAGTCACCCCCACCAGGCGCCTTCTGTCACCGAAGATGGGGGGTGCAGAGTGGCCGAGGGTGAAGAGCCGCGTCCGCCGGGGAAACTCTCCACGCTAAATGGCGCCGGGACTCTGAAGCCTCCACACAGCCCGCTCGGACCCCGCCCCCCGCCGCCGGGGCGCCCCACCCCCACCCCGCTCTCGGGGCTCTTGCGCAGGCGTGCTCGTATTGGGGCTCCCTGGGATTTGTAGTTTTCGCCTTTGAAGAATGAAAGGGATTGTGGAGAAGGGAGCCTACGACTTCCGTGATGCTCTGTGGTTGCTTTAGCCTGATGCCTCATGGGAGCTGTAGTTTTCTTTGGAAACCGCCCCTTCTGGGAGGCTGATGGGAGCGTCGCCGTGGGTCGCTAAACCCCATCCTTAAGTCAACGCTAGCTAGGAAGATCTTCATTTAGGGTTTAATTGTGGAAAAGGGGACGAGAATAAAAAAAAAAAAAAAGAAGAAGAAGACGGAGGCAGGACCAGAGGAGAGACTCCCGTCATGCTTTGCTGAGGGGAGAGAGAGCTAAGAGGTTGCCATGCGATGAAAGATGATCCGTTGTTCATCTTTAATGGAGAGAGCCGCGGTAGTGTTGAGTGATTTTAGCGTGATGGGGGTGGAGAAAAGGAAAGCAGAAAGAACCAGAACCTGGGCTCAGAGAGCCAGAGGGACTGAAGGACTCCTTCCATAGGGTTAAGGAAATTTTGTGAAGATTGGCCAATGGGAAGGAGACACGGACTATTTATTACCTCTTCTCCTCTTCCCTTCCATAACAATTAAGGCCACACTCTCAGCTCCAGCCTCAAGATAGATATTCTGGCTCTCGAAGATGGTTTGCCCTCCTGAAATCAGGATCATAGCGAATCTTTTGTTTTGCCAGAAAAAAAATAACGGCGCGGTGAGCGAGGATTCGAGAAAAGAGAAGGTCCACGTATCTGTGCATCTTTTACCACAAACTTGTGAGAGTGCAGTTGAATTTTGCTATATAGTTGGTTAAGTTTAATTTCCATCTTTCATTTGCCCGAGGGCTTAGAGAGAGGCCATCCCCTTTCCCCAGAGGTGCATGAAAGCGCACATGTAGTTTTTACCGTGGCTTTGGACATAGAGGAAATCTAGATCCATGCAGTTCACAGTGTTGGAAGGCTTTCCTTGAAAGCATCCTTACACTCTCTGGACCCCTTCGCTCCTCGCAGGGCTCAAGATTGTACAGGTGGTGAGCACCAGGGGGCATCAGAGTGGGAAGCCAGGCCAGTTAGACGGCAGTTAGAAGTCTTAAGAGCGGGAAGATCTTAAAGGTGCGCTGCTAGTTCATCAGAGCGTCCTCAAGCTCCTGCCTCTCATCAGCGCCCGCTATAGAACAAACTCAGAAGCACACTTCCTAGCCCAGCGCCACATTAAGAGGATGAGTCGTTACCACCAGTTTCCTAGAAAATACCCACAATTTATCAGGATGAACTCCACATAGAGAACATTTGCTACATAATTCATATTAATTCATCTAATGTGTAAAATACACTTTTTCAATTTTTTCCCAAAAAAATTTTTCTCTACATTTTCAGGTTTACAAAAAAGCTGGGTTTAAAAACAAAGGTTGTTAGGTTTCATGAAGCTAATAGATTATGAACACTTTAAAATATAAACTCAGTGAAGAAGAGGTGGGTGGGGATGGGGTACCTGGGTAATTGGAATTAAGGAGGGCACATGATGTGATAAGCACTGAGTGTTATACACAGCTGATGAATTATTGAAAACTACATCTGAAACTAATGATGTACTATATGTTGGCTGATTGAATTTAAGTTAAATAAAAATATATAAATTCAGTGGGGCAACTGGAATACACACAGTCAAGGCCCTTGATAATCATGCCTTATCAACATGTTTTTTTCAACAACAAACTACTAAATTTGTTGTAAATAATTTAATTAACTGTCAAGGTAAAGCCCCCCCCTTGCCCACCTGACAGCTTTTCCTACTTGTCTAACATTAACTTTATTATAAAAACAAGTACAACTTTACTTTTTCAAAAGATTTTATTTATTTATTCATGAGAGACACAGAGAGAGAGAGAGAGAGAGACATAGGCAGAGGAGAAGCAGGCTCCCCACAGGGAGCCCAATGCAGGACTCGATCCCAGGACCCCGGAATCACGACCTGAGCCAAAGGTAGACGCTCAACCACAGAGCCACCCAGGTGCCCCTGGGTACAATTTCATATTGAATATAACCATATTGTGTACAATGGTTCAATTTAAGTTCGATGTCTATCTCCCACCCTTCACAAAACTAACGTCCATATAATTTAAAGAAAATTTTCAAAATAAGCTCTAAGAATTTTTAGAATCTCGGAAAACATGGAAGAGGAAAGGACATCAAAGAACAACCCACGAGCCATAAAGAAAAATACTTGACTATTTCAAAATTAACAGTTTTGTTCAATAGAACACAAATGATGAGCTGACAGAAAAATTTTGAAACCTGTATAACAAAAGACTAATATTCAAAATATGTAAATAACACCTTAAATCACAAAGGGTAATACAAGGACACCTGATCGTGATCCCGTGATCCCGGAGTCCTGGCATTGAGTCCCTCCTCATCCAGCTCCCTGTGGGGAGCCTGCTTCTCTCTCTGCCTATGTCTCTGCTTCTCTCTGTGTCTCTCATGAATAAATAAATAAAATCTTTAAAAAAACAAAACAAAACAAAAGGATAATACAATCCTATAGAAAAAGGAGACCATTGAAACAGGAGGAAATCCAAATGACAAAAATAAGCTTTAAAAAAATGGTGAAATTCAGTAACAAAGGAAGTGCAAATTAAAACAAGATATATGCTTTTCCCTTACAAAATTGGCAAAATTTGTAAGCATTTATAATATCAAGTGTAAACAAGAATGTGGAGAAACATGTGCTATTAGTGATAACATAAATTAGAAAAACCTTTTTTTTGCGGGTAATTTGTTAGTACTTAATGAAATGTACAACTTGCAAAGCCTTGGAGCTAGCAGTTTCCCTTCTTGGTAGCTGCTTTCTACAAATACTTGGCATATATGCACCAACAAACATTTATAAGAAGATCCACTGCAGTTTTGCCTGTAACAAGAATTTGAAACAATCTGCATGTACCCTATAATAGTTAAACTATAGTATATTTAATTTTGGGAACATCATGCAACAAGAGAAAAGAAGGAGGTAGATATATATGTGGTGGCATAAAAAATAGTTGTTGAGTAGTATGTACTTGATCATATGTTGTATTTTTAAAATTGTGTTTCTATATGTATCTCAATGCACAGAGTAAAAGTATGGTCAGTACACGCCAAAATGAAAAGTGAGAGGTTACTTCTGGGGAGTACTCTGATCTATATTGTATGAATTTCTTAATATATTCTCACTTATTGCAGACAATTTGAAAAATACAGTAGAATATGAAAGTACAAATCCTCAGCAAATCTACTAGCCTTTGAGATATCGCTTTTACATTTGACAAAATACAGCATTGGACATTACATTGGACAGCATTGTATTGGATATAATACAGCATTACATTGGGCAAAATCTGTTATTGATAAAAACTCTCAACAGAGTAGGGATAGAGGGAACATACCTCAACATCATAAAGGCCATGTATGAAAGAGCCACAGCTAATATCCTTAATGGGGATGAGGGCAGGAATTGAAACAGGGATGCCACCCTGAACATTGTTAATTTAACATAGTACTGGAAGTCATGGCCTCAGCAATCAGACAACAGAAATAAAAGGCATCCATGCCAGCAAGAAAGAAATCAGATGTTCACTATTTGCAGACACATGATACTCTGTAGAAAACCTGAAAAACTCCAGCAAAAAAATTCTAAGAACTGATACATGAATTCAGAACATCACAGGACATAAAATCAATGTATAGGAATCCTTTCTGTTTCCCTACACCAATAATTAAGCAGCAGAAAGAGAAATTAAGGAATCAATCCCATTTACAATTGCACCAAAAACCATAAGATACCTAGGAAGAAACCTAATCAAAAAGGTAAGAGATCTGTACTCTGAAAACTATAGAAAACTTATGAAAGAAACTGACACAAAGAAATGGAAAAACATTCCAGGCTCATGATTTGGAAGAACAGATACTATTAAAATGTCTACCCAAAGTAATCTACACATTTAATATATCCCTATCAAAATACCATCAGCATTTTTCACAGAACTATAACAAACAATCCTAAACCACAAAGACCC